CGCTAGACGCCTTTGTTTTGAAATAAAACAGTTTTTTCCTTCTCCTGTAAAATTTACCTCGCTGGGGTTAGCCGGTTTTATCACAAGGCCGACGTTATGCAGTTGCGAGCGCCGTAAAACACTTACAAAAACAAAACAGGTAATTCATTTTTCTTCATCGAATCCACCAAGTTCGAGTGGCTGAGACCAAAAAAAAACAAAAATATTTTGAGAGTGTCAAGGGGAGGTCAGTGTTTTGTAAACATAAAGGTCTCCTCGAGATCAGCTCACTGCAGCTCTCCTTGTAGGGTCAATAATGTTCAAGGTTGAGAGGGGACAGCGGCGCAAACAAACCACTTACTTCAAACAAAAAAGTAGCCTTTTTTGGTCTTATAATAAACTGGGATTTGTGAAACGCAGGAATGCGCTTTTTTAGACCTGCTTCATAACTCAATTCTCGGACCTGGCAGTAAGAGAAAGTTAAGAGAAATAGATAGATAGAGAAAGAGAAAGGTGTCATTTTTTTCAATGGAGGGGCTTTAGCTACCCTCAGGAAAGGTACTTCAATTCCTTTTAGTTCCTCCACCAAGCTGGAAAAAGATTATTTGACACCAGGAAGAGACTCCAAATGTGAATGATAGAACCCAAATTGAATAATATAATTATTACCTTTAAACCTCAGCAGCTTACCGAATTTTCCATCAGTGTTAAGAATGAAATAACTGTTTTGTTACTTTACTTTTACTTTTTCCTCATCTGTTGAGGTTCAGCGTCAAGAGAAGATGCAGTTTTCTATTGTAGGCCAACTCTGTAGCTCTTTCTTTTGGGATATTATCATTTCTCAGGGTTTCCTTGACTTCCTCAATCCATCTTTTGCGTGGTGTACGTCTTCTTTTATAGCCTATGGCTTGGTGTCATAAGCTCTCGAGTTTGGTTGGCTAGCTGACATTCGTGACAGGTGACCAAGTCATTTTATTCTCTGTTTGTCTTTCAAATGCAGACAGGACTCCGTGCCAATAGTTGCTCTTACTTTTTCATTTCTCAGCCTGTTTCTTCTTGAGATATGGTATAGCAGTTAGACTCTTCGCTGTCGCACGCAAGAGACCCGAGTTCGATTACCAAGTGACGAAACATGTTATTGAGTATCTCGGTCCTTCAGTTACGATGTTGCCCACGTTGGCTGGCCTTGGCAGACAGGGTCGGAAGCCTGCCTTTTAAGTGACCTAAATTGCGTTTATGGGGGCATAAAACACCAATATTAAAGAATACGATTTACGTGGCTGGCGTTCAACATTCTGTTGAGGCATAATATATCACCGACGTTGTTATGTATAGGCTCTTTACTAAACTGTACTATTTGAAACGTCGGTATTTACACGGGATGAAAACGGCGTAAAATTGAAGTTAAAAAATAATCATGCATTGACCAATTAAGACACAACGAAATCACGTGATTTGCGTCAGTAATCCTATCTGTGATTGGCTGACCTTGGTCATGGGTAGTCTGAGCAGCCATTCAGGATTGTCGGAGCGGTTGGAGACAAACTCCCACCACGTCCATGCGATGATCTCATCCTCTGTCTTGTTGGCTCGTGCTGGGTCGTCCTGGATGGTTGGGGGGGGGGGCAATCAAGTAAGAAAAAAAGGAATAGAGAGTGTATGGAGAAGACAAGCTGAGATGAGGTAAGGTTAGAAAAGTTTAGATTAGACAATAGGGTATATTTTATTCTTATACAATAGAATTTAAAACAATCAATATCAATAAAATGTTAGTAAATGTTTTACGGCACACCTGCAACACTTTAATGTCATAAAAGTGCCGAAGGTTACAGATGATACATGAGAATAACAAACACAAACAGGAAGAATTAGAAATATGGACCAACGATGTATCTTAGGAAAGAAGAAGCAGATCACACAAGAGAACCCGCCAACCATCCATTTTTAATAAAGTAAAACACAGGATAAGATAGTATACATAAGGTAAGATAAGGCTAGAAAAGTGAAAAAGATTTGTATTTTGACAACTAAAGTTAGAAAGTGAGACGCAATATAATGACATTAGAAGACAATAATAATATCATTATTTTCTGAACGATGAAAAATAGAACAAGGTGGATGAAACTTCAAGTATGAACAAGCTCATTAAAAGGTCTCCTTGGACGCATTCACTTTACAATTGTAAATGGAAATAGCTTAATGCCTACTTCAATGTGACAGATTCTGAATGCAAACAGTTCTTTCATAATCTACCAAATTTGGTGATCAGACCTCCCCCCCCCCTCCCTGTTCTCCGCCAACCCACCCCTTCACCTTTCACTCAAACACATTTTCAACATCCCGTAACTTTTAGCTGATCGCCAAACCGGCGAAAAAAATGATGATTTCTTCGATTTCATTATTTTGACGAGCGCCTGATTTCACCACAATGCCTCACATTTCAGTTCTATGAATGTGTTTTTGACCATTCCCGTACAACCAAAACAAATTCCCACTGATACAAATAATTAACCATCTTGTCTTCTTATCTTACTCGCACCTGGGCGCCGACTTAAGTTTTAAGTTGGTTTACGCTCAAGTAGTTCTCCACCTTCCTCCTTAACTCCAGGCAGTGGTTCGGGCGCATTCCTTTACGACGACTCCGACGTCAAATAACAGTAGGTCTCTTTTATCCGGAGTTCATTTATTAGATGCAAAACTATCATAATAAGTTCACTTGTTTTGATTTGATGACCAATCCAGTGACGCATGTTATGCCATTTCTAGATTTCGTACCAAAAGAGGGCTCCACAGGAGATTAAAAAATTAATCTTTCAACTGAGGTATGTACCTGGAACACAACAGGCGCGTATGGTATGTTCCTTAAGTTGACGCACACAGTCCCTGTGGTGACAGCCATCATTGTGACGAAGTCGTAGAAACTGTCGCCGGGGTACGGTTTGCTGG